GGCTGGTTTATTACAGTATACTGTATAACTTGTGTTTAACTTATATATACAAATGGGCAAAAAGCTGTGAAATATCGCTAACATCATTACATTTCCCTCATGGATATTAAAATATTGTGATTTATATTCTAAATATTATATCAAGATACTGCAAAGAATACTCAATATAATATGGCAAAAATAAAATGTGTTATGTACACACACACACACACACACACACACACACACACACACACACACACACACACACACACACACACACACACACACACACACACACACACACTCGTGCCAGCATACACAAACAATACCATTAACATCATGTGTATAGAGTGCAATAAATCATTCCTAATGCTTAATAAACCAACTCTATCAAGACCTCACACACACACACACACACACACACACACACACACACACACACACACACACACACACACACACACACACACACACACACACACACACACACACACACACACACACACACACACACACACACACACACACACACACACACACTTCTCCAGGCAGGGGCGGACTGGGGGTAAAAAGTGGCCCGGGGATTAATTGACAGACAGGCCCACTTAATGCGCGGCATGTATCGGCCGGCCGGCGACGAAAGTATGTTACTTAACAAAAAACCCTATGCATTACACGTGGTGGGTATTGTGATATCACTGATATGTGAAAGTGAAACTATCTGATAGACAGTAGCGTGGCGTGGGGAAAAATTTAGGGGAAGCCCATTTTTTTGGGTTGGTTGGGGGGGGGGGGGTTAATAACGTAACCAGATGAGTGATTACAGCGCCCGGTATCATTTTACACACATTTGCATCACACAGATGCAGGACTTGCACACGCCTGTTATCTAACCGACAGGTCCGCACGCACTCTCCAGCCGAAACTCTCGTTTTATTAATTTAAGCATTTTCTTATTAATTTATGCAGACACACCCCCCCCCCAAATGCAATACCAGCCGCTCAATGCGCAGTGCAGATTCGGTAATGAATAAAAAAGAAGCATTCATTCACAAAGCAAATCAGGAGACCTTTAAAGTTTTATGTACACATCAAAGTATCAGTAGGCGTGTATGAAACACATGAATTCAAAAACAATTATGTACAGAAACATTTGGATGCGATAGTCTACCTTCTCTTCCCTTCCCTTTCTAACACACGGCAAGTGCAGCAACAGTCCTCGTCTCTGTAATTAGCTCAGTCCGTAGTCCAAAAGTAACTAAAAAATATAAACAATCTCATCTATTCAGGTGAAATCGCCAGCCGCCTCTGAAGGGAAGCTAGAGGCAGCTGGCTTCCCTTGGCATGGCCCTGACCAATCACAGGTTGGCAGGGGCATCACGTGGGCCTCATCTGATTGGTCAATCCCTCAATTTGTTTCACCAAGGGAAGCCCGATCCGACTGGCCTCCTCTCGCAACAGTGAATGCAATCTACTGTTTCACCATAACATCTAGAGGGGCGCTGTTTGTTTCACTCTTTGTAAAATATTCAATGAGAGTGGGGGAGAGACGGGCCGGCAGCAACACACAGCAAAGGAGAATTATCGAAACAAAACAAAGTGTTTTTATTTATTTATTTAAATTATAACTACAATCCAAAAAAACAGGGGAAGCCTGGCTTCCCTTGGCCTCCGGGAGAAAACGCCACTGCTGATAGATAGAACATAGGTAGCCTATCAAAACGGCCAGCCAGCCCAGCGCCAGCCAGCCAGGCAGGCCGGCTGGCTGTGTTAGGCAAAAAAAATAAATAATAATAATTATTTTCTTTTTTTGCAAATCCGACCGGCCCTCCGGCCCACGCACAGCACCGGCCCGCCGGGAAAACTCCCGGTATTCCCGATGGCCAGTCCGCCCCTGTCTCCAGGTCTTTCCCCTCCCTTGTTACCATGGCGATGCAGAGCTCAGGTGAACTCTACCCGAGACCATGAACACCTGGACCGACCGGTTCTGCGGGCCAAGACAAAAGATTGACACCTTAATACCAGGCGAGGAGGAGGAGGGACGAAATACCTGCTGCACTTCAACTCTGCTCAGAAACACTCAGGGTGAAATACAACCTGCTGGAAGCACTGATTCATAGAACAACCCTTTATAGTGCTCAGTAATGAGTTTTTACCTATTTATTAGTGTACAGTATGTAGTAGGCTATGTGTATTAGGCCTATGTGATGGGCACCTTATGTTTTTTTTAATCTAAATAATGTATTGTGGTTTTATATTTTAATGCTGTATATTTTAACTTCAAATGTCAACGCCCAACTAGAAACAAGGCTTTAAAATGAACTGTAGCTATAAACTCTCTCTTCTCTGTTTGGGAAATATGTTTAATTGCATTGTTCTTATCAAATGAAAATACATTAAATTAAAAATGTATACAGACATTGTTGTACTTTTTGTATTCTGTGGGTATCCAACTGTATTACTTAATATTGTGTATCACACGCAAAGGAAAAATGATAAAAAGTAAATTCAAATCGACTAGTAAAGTTTTGTAATGAAAACTAAGCCCCCCCCCCAAAGAATAAAAATACACTTTCTTTTAGAATAGTTAGCTGAAATCAGGTGGTGTACAGGTAATATTTCCCAACACATTAAGTCATATAAAGTAACTCTTCAGTGCTCGGAAGCTGAAACATGAAGCTCTCTGCAGCCGAAACTTTATCCGCATCGCATTCTTTCTGCTGTCAAAACGAACCATGTTACAGAATAACCACTTCCGGTACGAGCTTTCAAAATAATGCTGTGGTTTGACCATGTAAAACACTTTGGTGGGAAAGTATACATAAAACCAAAGTAGGCAAATTACAAAACGGAGTTAGACAGCATGAACAAAAACCTATATGTAAAGTTATTTTAACTTTTTTTTACAGCTTTTATAGGACTCACAATTGTGTACATTTAATAATACCACATTTAAAACGGCAATGCTTTTTACTTTTAATGTAAATATACATTAGGGTGGTCCTTATAGTGCCATGTACATTTTCGAATTCATTTATTTTAAGCTCCAACCACCGGAATTCGTTATGATAGTCAAGAAAATATCTCCTGGTGAATTATATTCAAATTCCAACAACATTTACCCCTCCCTCATCAACCTTGAAGTTTAGCCTCACGTAGGGTGGTCCTTAAAATTGAAAGTGGGAAAGTCTAAGCTCCAACCCCCAGAATTCGTTATGACAATCAAGAAAACTCTCCTGATGAATTTTTAAGGACCACCCTGGGATTTTCTTAGTAATTTAGTTTATGTTTTGGTTTCTTGATGTTAATTTTTGTGTTAATTTTTTCTTTTTACTTTTCGTATTCTCTCGATATATTTATTTATTTTTCAAATGTTTTCTCTTTTACTGTGTTGATGTATGCACCAATATACACTAAAGCTAATTCCTTTCATGTGAAAACTACTATTCTGATTCTGATACAGGAATAAAATAGTAGATAACACATGCCAAAAAAAATCTCTGTTAATAACTTGAAAAATAAATACATCCTGGTCTCACATAGCACACACAGTGAAATGTGTTCTCTGCTTTTAACCCATCCTGGTACCAGGAGTCTACTATAGGAGCAGTGGGCAGCTAGTGTACAGTGCCCGGGGAGCAATGGGAGTGAGGGGGGGAAGGGGGATGTCCGGAGGCTTGCTCAAGGGCATCACGGCAGGGCAGGAGGTGAACTGGGACCTCTCCAAGTAGCAGTCCACACTTCATATTTAGGTCTGGTCGGGGACTTGAACCAGCAACCCTACGGCTCACAGTCCAAGCCCCTACTGACTGAGCCACTGCCGGACTGCCTGAGCCACTGTCATCCTGATGTCAGAAATACATGAATGATTAAAGATAAAACCAGCCTCCTGGCTCATTCTGGCATATTTACAGTACTATTTGCTAGTTTGCAAAGTCCTTGTGAAATCAATGAATGAAAAAAAAGTGTTGTTGTGACTGAGTATCATTTACTGGAGTTTTATGTCAGTGTCAAAACTCATGAACCGGGAACTTAGCGAAACTTAGCTTTGAGCTATTATATCAAGTTTCCTGTCAACACACGCAGCAGTCTGGCCTGTTCCTACAGCTTTGTGTATTCTGTCATATCCGTTTACGTCCCGCAGACATCAGGCAAGACTCGTGAGCAGCTTATTGACTTTGGAACAATATACATGAGGAGTGGTCAATATCAACATTGAATCACACTGCAGGTGGAAATATATACTGCAGCACTTCTCTGTGTGGACACGACTTAAGCTTGAATAATATTTGGTTACAAGCGGAAGTCAATCTTTTAAAATGACCTTTATGTAAAAGTAATGAAGCATTTAACACAAAATGTACTTAAAGAAATCAAAAGTGTTTACTCCTCATTGCAGACAATTGCTCCTATGAGATGTAATAATTATGCGTTATACTAGTTTATTACTAGCTATGCACTGTTTACATTTGAAGCCTTAGTGGTGTGGCTCATTTGTGTATAAAGTATTGGTTTGTTATATGAAATCATCATATACAAATTGATCATATGAATTGCATGTAAAATCTTTTATGAATCCTTATCGTCAGAATATTTTATTTATCTAGTGAGAATTGGGTTTGGTGACAGTTTAAGATCAAATAAAATAATAATACAAGTAAGAATGTCGAATAAAAGGATATAATATACATATATATGTCCTTATTACTTATATAAATATAGGAAATTCATCAAGTAAGAATAAAAAGAGGGTTTTTTATAAACATAAGGGAAAATAAAATGTCCAAAAAAGATCATTTAAAATAGATCAAGTAAAATATGAATACAAAATAACATGTTTAAGTTAAATTGTGCACTGTACTACAATATGAAACATGTATAATATGCATAATAAACTACAACCTCATGCTCTTATTTGACACGCATACTCCTCTTACTTCCGGCGCTGCTGCGGTAGTTTGCCGCTCTCTTGCCGCGTCGCCGCCCAGAGCGCATTCCTGCCGCAGAGCGTTTCCAGCAGAGCACGGAGCTGCACATTCCTCTGAAGGTGCGGTGTGGACTTTCCCGGGCGGCAGGTTGTTTCGAGTGGGCTGAAAGAGATTTGAGAAAGTAGTTTTAACTCCGTATCAGCGGGCTAAACAATGACGCTGTCTGTGCGCTTCAGCAACAGTAGCTGCTAGCTGTTAGCCGCAGGTGGACCGGGGGACGCGGTGGAGAAATGGAGCGCACCGAGAAATCAGAGACTGTACCTGCTCGTTTTCAGGGAGTGTGACGGTCTGATTTGCAGGTAAAAGAAAGCTGTTTTTAAACTTTTATGCCTTTGACTTTCTCTTGAATTAGCACAACGTTTATTTAAAGGTATATATGATGTCAACACACTGCAAAAGGGCGAAAAACGCATTTTAAACACCTGTAAAAGTGTAAAAACACCTGTTAAAGTGTACCTGTCTATGTAAAAGTAAGATTTCCGGGGGTGTGTGTTAGAATAGATCCTGACAGGTCCATTAATTAGAAAATCCCGAACTTGACAACGAGTTTAGTGTCAGTCCTTATCGGCTCATAACGTGCTGCTGATTATTCATGAACAGTGTTTTGCTCAGGGTTTCTGTGGGCCATGGCGGGCTGCTGGCCGTGCTGCCCCTGCCTGTTTGTGTGCTGCCTGTCCGAGGAGGACAAGACCGGCCTCGCGGTGGACAAGGAGATCGCGAGGATCCTCAAGCAGCAGAAGAAGAAGGAGAGAAGGGAAATTAAAATCCTCCTGCTGGGTCAGTGACACATTTTTATTTTATTCACTAATGTAGGCTACTTTACTTTCCATTATCTGCTACTCTATACTTCTACTGTACTACATTCCATTGGCAAATATTTACTTATATAATAATTGTTTACTCCATTACATTTCCAACTTGAAAATTCAGATTAATAAAACACATTTTAATGATAAATAATTGATAATAAATGCCAACTATTATAGGTTTAACACTATTTAAAACTTTGTTATTAATATACAATAAAATATATTATTATAAGAGAATATATATATTTTAATTATAAGATTGATTAGAATATACATTTTTTTTTATGCCATGACATTTACAAGCTACTTGGCATTATATAGTACAAAAGCTTGTATTTGACCTGCTGCATCATTCATGTAATGAACACATTAATGCATTAATACAAATGTATAAATATAATTATATATAAAATAGTTATTATCATTATTTTTTATACTTTTTGAATGGGCTGTGAGTATTTTTACTCTTAGTACTTATAGCAGACTATGTTTTGTCTGCAATCTCCCCGAGTAATGCAGGAATTTCACATGTGACAGAGTATTTATACACACTCTATTATTACTCCTTTCACTTAAGTAAAATATCTCAGTACTTATTGCACCTCTGATTTAATATGAGATCAAATAATTTAAAAAAGCAGTGATGGCAATTATATTTTAATAAGGTAAATAAATAAACTCAGACAGTTTAAAAGGGCATGATAAAGGAACGCCCTTCTTTAACACTGTCTGTCCTTTTTGGTTTCACAGTGTGAAAACTATGTGAAGCATGTGTCACTGTGAGAGTATTCAAAGTATAGATTGGGATCGGTTGTACATGAAAGCCACAGAAACCTACAGGCCTGCAGCTGGTTGGATGACTTTCAAATGTTCTATTAATCTCCAAGGCTGACAATGAACCGTGGGGTGAAAATGTGTGAGAGGCAGACATCTGGTTCTGTCACCTTATGGTTTACTGGTTTCCTTTTAAGGACGTTTTTCATCACTTAACTGCAGAAGTAGTTGAGAAACAGCGCTGAGATGACTCAGAGTATTGTTGAAATTCAGCTTCTGACAACTTGGATTTTACCGATACTGTTCTTTCAATTCATTTTGCTCACACAATTTAAAAACCAGTAAAACCATAAGACACAATAGAGATATGTGAATGGAATAATAATGCTCTGCACATTTATTCACCTACATTTGACTAACCCCTGTTTTTGTGGCCTTACAGACTGTAAACACGACACACAATGAGCAGGCTGAACTGCTACAAACAGTCTTATCAAACTAAATCTGTTAATCCTCTCAACACTTGTCTCCTATAAGATGTAGATGTTGGCCATGAGGGTGGTGCAACAGGTTGCCATTGTCAGTAGTTGTGTATGTGTAGACGTGTCTGTGCAAACTGCGTATGTGTGTTACCTTTTAGGTCAATGTTTAAAAAAAATCTCTTTTAGATTTTTATCTGTGGAACTGCAGTATGGCGTCCAGATCACATTTCTAAATATAATATTTTTTGGTAGTGTTTTTTTGCGAAAAGGAAGCATTCACTCTCTGTTTTTGTTTTGTCCACCAACTGGTAACCGACACATTTGGCTCTGAAGCTCATTTATGCTCCACTATGTTTACCAGCTAGTCTTAACCTTTGTCTTACTGTTTGGTGCTGAGCAGGATGTGTACAGTGTGAGCTTTCATCATCTAACAAACACTGAACTTTAAAACCAAAACCAATGAGCTGAAAGACGCTGAAACCCTCTGAGGGAATAATTATTTGAGTTCATCACTAAGAGCAGAATCAAGCTATTTCACGATATTCAGCCCCAAAAAACTGGAACTTAAACCGTGGTAAAAAGTTCGAGCAGACTATGTTTTGTCTGCAATCTCCCTCGAGTAATGTAGGAATTTCACATGTGACAGAGTATTTATACACACTCTACTATTACTCCTTTCACTTGGGGTAGGTAATTTTGGAGAAACCAGCTCGAGTGCGCTAGAATTTGAAAATACACAGCCGGAACAAATCTGCCACTTCCTTACAGAGCCCCTCCTCCAACACACACGAACGCGCACATGACCAATGAGGGCACGAGATAAGTTTGTGCACAGATGGAAAGCTGACAGGCAGGTAGGCCATCCAGTTATTTTAGCCGGGCCAGCTAAAATGATTGGTCGTGCTTTTTACAGTACTACGGCTTCCACCGATGACATTTTTTTATGGATTTTTTGTCAAAGCACTTCAGATATTCATTGCTATCGGGATGTTAAGAGCATTCCATGGAATATAACAAAAAGTGTATCTCGAGCCGGTTTCTCAAACTTACCTACCCCACCTTAAAGTAAAATATCTGAGTACATTTGTTCATTCCAGTGACTGAATCACTGACCTGTTTAAAAAAGATTCTTCAAACTCACTTTCACGGTTTGGTTTTGTCTTAACTTTGCCTTTTAAACTTGAATTATACGGTTTTATATCCAGTACCATCCATGGGTTTTATAGTCTTATTATTGTTTTTATTGTAAAACGTCTTTATATTAAAGGTTATTTCAAAGTTGTTTTATTATTATTATTATTATTATTATTATTATTAATAAATGTTATTAGTATTTAACATCCTGTCTGGAATACTAATTATACATTATAAAATATAATAATAATACTTATTATATTATTATTATTGTTATATACCAGACAGTCGGGCCCTTTCAGATCCTGGTGTGAAGAATCCTTCTCGTTAAAAGTGACTGTATGTCTTTCAGTCACCTTTTTTAAATCCCCCTTGACATTTAACCACTCTCGTAAACAAATTCTAAAAATGTTCACCCCTACAAGGTTTCATTTCAGCTGACCTGCATGTGTTTAGACTGTGGGAGTAAACCCATAAAGACTCAGTTAGAGCATGAATAAACAGAGAGATAATCCAACAGCGAGGCGATGATGCTAAACCCCGTTGACAGATGTGTACTTCATATAACTGTTTTGTGTGGTTGAAATTGTGTTGCACATGTCTGTAATTGGTGCAAAACGTGTGATTTTTAACGCACTATAAATTAAATAAACACGAGACATTATCAATTCCTCAGGTACTGGAGAAAGTGGAAAAACCACTTTCATCCGGCAGATGAGGATCATCCACGGACGAGGCTTCTCAGAGGAGGAGAGGAGGAGTTTTGCCAAATGCATCTTCCAGAACATCCTCACAGCCATGAAGGCCATGACAGGAGCCATGGCCGCGCTCAAAATCCCCTACTTCAACCCCGAGAACGAGGTAAAGTCTCACATAAACAAACAGAGTGGTGCGGGCATCAGGGCAGAGAGATTGTGCCCACATCAAACACAGAAACACACACTCAGCACGATGTAGTCTATAAATAAAAAAAGTCAGTTACAGAGTGTTTATGCTGAATGTCAAACCCACTTTTTTCAGATCTACGGGAAGTGGCTGCATGACATAAACACGGTGCAGATCAGCCATCTGGAGCGCGGCTACGTGGACGCCATCCGCCGCCTCTGGGCAGACTCGGGGGTGCGGGTGTGTTACAGCCGACGCTGCGAGTACCAGCTCCTGGACTCCACTGAGTAGTGAGTATCTGTATGAGAGCATCATGTGAGCAAACACTGTCACTGCAAGCTGTCCAAGATGATATCACACTACGGGAATCTATAAGAGAAGGTGTTTGCCAGATGCAGCATCAAAATGCTCACCTCTTAAACTAAATAGTATTCAGTTTCTATCCAGTATAAAGTATACAGTATATGTCAGATGGGGCTACCAAGTCTGTGAATAGGCATCTGGTTTACGCACTTACAGTAAATGTGACTTTTTGATGACGTATGCCTTCACTGCGCTTTGCATTTGGGAATGTCAGCACTACGCTTTGCATCATACTTCGCTGTATCATCTAAAAGTTGTATTTTTATTTGTAGTTTTCTTAATTTATTCTTTTCATTTAAAGAAAATAATCTTTTGATGACATTATCATAAAAGAAAAGATCCTTTTTTATTGATATGTCCCTCATTTTTTGCCACACATCCTCAGAATGAGTTGTATACTATGTGTTTTTGTACTGAGACCACTGGAGGGGGCTAGTTCCCCCACAATGTTCTTTATTCAGCCATTTTCCAGCCATGTTGAAACCACCAGTTGATCAAAGAGTGAATACGTAAGCACATCAAACTCCTGTGAGTCAAAAGAAACATGAATCATCTTTTAAAGTGTTTAGGAGAACCTGAATGTCACAATACCACAGACATTCTTCTTTAAAATCATCATGAAAAGATGTAACACAGCCTGTGCCTCACGCTCAAAGTATGTAGCATGTCCCAGAACAAAGGCTCAGCCTGCTCAGTTTTCTCTTTCCTATTTCCTCTGTTTACCCAGTAGCTCAATCATAGCGCTGTGTGATAAGAGACAGGCGGTAGCTAATGACAGCTTGTATCAACACGAGCCATAAAGCCGTCATCTGTGCACACGGCGATATGGACTCGCTCCACTCCCTTCTTGTATTTTTAATCACTGTTTTTTTTTATCATCATCATATATCTTGTGTCCCTTCAGTTTGCTTTACCTGTGGAGTAAACAGAGACAATATGTTGTTACCGGAGGTCTCTCTTTAGCACCACTGTAAACTTCCTCTCTCTTTCAGCTACATGAATAACCTGGACCGCATCTCCGCCCCGGACTACATCCCCACGGAGCAGGACGTGCTGCGGGTTCGATTCCCCACCACGGGCATCCACGACTACTCCTTCACCATCAAGACCATCACGCTAAGGTGACAGTCTTCAGATTACTAGTCTTAATTCCCTTACTTCTGTACTCTTGCTGTGTTGAGTGCCTAAGTGCGTTCATGTGGGTACTGGATACAGCGTTGGAAGCTGGGCCGATTAATCTGATTAAAGTTGCTCACTGCCAAATGAAACAAAAATTGATTCAATACTGAGTAAATCATTACCAAAATCTCCTGCACTCATTGGATAAAGGATTACATACTTGCTTTTGCCTTAAGCCACGCCTCCAATCCGCTGAGTCCAGCCTCGGCTCCGTCAAATGAACGAAGAGGGAAATAACTCTGGATTCGGCTAGTTTGGCTATTTTTTGTAAATGTCCCCGTTGTGGGACAAATAAAGGATTTCTGATTTACAATGCTAGGACCTTATGATTTAAATAAGGGCTATTCAAGTGTCAGTACAGGGAAGGTGATTTACTTTGTTGATGTACACACAGATTTACTGAGGTCTCTTTCCCAATGCAAGTCAATGGAAAAAGTCATTTTGAGTGGCATCACTTCACTGACACGGAAAGATGATACCACAGGTTGGCCAATACTCAAATATGTTTCACTGCGCACTTCCTGCAGTCTTTGTTCATTCTGAGAAGTACGGCGTGCACTATGAGAACCGGGATGGGTGAATTATGACAGACAAAAAGATACAAGTTGGAATTGTGAAACTCTGGACACTTCTCACCCTCAACGAACTTCATCTTGGCTTCTGAAGTGTTGGGACCAGCCGTGATTGGGGTTGATTAGCTAAACAAATACAAGTTATCCATGTGTTTTTTTATATAATATTGACTAATGATATCACCGGCCCTGACCAATTTGCTGCCCTAGGCAAGATTTTAGCTGGCGCCCCCCCCCCCCCCCCCCCCCCAAAATGCAGACACTCACATGACTCGCGTATGCATTCACGTGCACGGTTGTGGCATGACCACCAAAACAGAAAGATATGGACACAAGATGTGTGCAAATGTATTTAGTTTCCTATCCATTTGAACATGATTTAAGTGGGGGGTGGACCTAACCTCCCCTAGGGGGGTCCGGGGGCATGCTCCCCCGGGAAGATTTTTTTTTTTTAAATGTTGAAGTTAAAAGCATCAATCTGGTGCACTTTGAGAGCAACATTAGGAGATCTATGGATACAGCTCTCAACATCCATATGAAACAGAACTGAAAACAGATTTTCTTTTTATTTATGCATATTTTACAAATCACTCCCCTTTTAAACTCTATTCTTGTTTATTAATAACAACTTGTTTTACTGTCATATAGTATTTTATACTATATGACAGTAAAAGACTATTCTCTTATTTTTTTATAACTATAATGATCATACTGTATACTGTAAAGGTGTGCCTTTACCTCACTGAGCTGAGGTTATCAGAGCCGCTCAGTCTTTCAGGAGAGAGCTCTTCCCCCCTGCGGCCGCTTACACAGTAAATTCCAATGTTAATAAAAGCTGTATACATTTTTTGGGAGTTTGATTTATTTTAAATTACACAAATACAAAATTAAAACCTATAATTGCACACTAAAACCATTATTTCAAAAAAAGAACTATTTCACAGTTTTTACTGGGGCTGGGGCAGTTCAACTTGATTTTTGGGGGGGGGTGCGCCATAGTTTATGGGCGCTGTACGCAATATAGGCGTAGTTCTGTTAGTATAAGATAATAAGATGTACTTTGTTGATCCAAAATTGGAAAATTGTGTTATGAAAAAAAAAAAAAAAACATTTTTAACATTTACATTTTTTTTTTTTTTCAATTTTCGGTGCCCCCCATAGATTGATGCACCCTTAGCATTCGCCTATACTGCCTATGCCAAGGGCCGGCCCTGGATATCACTACACAGTTGTTAAAAAGAGGCCATCATTTTAAAAGGTTAATTGAGCAGTCTGGCATGATTCGGTGCAGAAATCGATAATGTTTCTAGCTAGCTAGCGTTAATAAACTACGCTACCCAGTCGAAATTCACACACAATTGAGACAAACCGAATGGAGACACAGCACAAGAGAAAACTTATACCCACACTATTCACTGCGTTGAGGGAAAACTCACTATTGACTGATGCAGAGGCTTTATCAGAATCAGATTTATGATGGAGATTATAGACCTTCAGGGGAAGGTTTATTTTGAACCTGCGTTGTTTGTTTCTGAAACCAGAGGAAGAACTGACTCCAGCTGAGCAGACAGAGATCACATTTCTTTGTGTGTTCCCAAATTAAATGACACCTGCTCTTAAATTATAAGGTATAACACACAATTAAAACAAACTAAACTGAAGACAAGGTTTGTTTTGGCTCTGTGCTCCGGCACAACTGACAGATTAATGAATGACGTTACTGCTCCTGTGTCGTTCACACAGCTACGCCCAGCCTGCAGCAAGACAGCAGGAGTTCATAAAGACAGATCCAGCTTTCCATTGCAAACACAACAAAAAATGTCAACAACAGTAAAAAAGTGAAAAATCAAACAATTTGAACATTTGTCACAATTGAATTTTCAGGCCTTCGTTGTCTACAACCAAATCATTAATTACTTGTCGACCTTAGGACTCAATACTAGTCCCTGCTTTGTTTACATCTTAAGACCCCATTTACACAGGAACGCAAACGAAACGCAAACGAACCGAATTCGATATCAAAAAAGTATTCCGTTCACACGGATACGGCTCAATAAACGTGTCCCTCCACAACTCAACCCGCTGGAGACGCTGTAGGACATATGCCGGGCCTGTAAGTGGCGCTGTACTTCCGCCATAAAATACACCAAAAGCAGCGAAGAAGACCCCCGAGCATGGTTGCCATGGTTGCCTGGTTTCCCTTCTTTTTATTCTCCGCGGTGTAGTTCATGTAGTTCTCCATGTCCACTTGTTGCTGATGGTTGTGGTAGAGGAGCTGTAGATTTTGCACTAACATCTGTAGCATGGTCAGTAGCAGTAGCACTAGCAGTAGCTACTGACCATGCTACAGCAGTGAGCAGCAGAGGTGGGGAGAGGCGGGGCTATGGCTTCATCGTTATCAGAAAATGATCGTATAGGACGTACACGCGGAGCCGCTTGGCCCCCCAGAGCATTCCGTCCGCAGATCTATCCACCTTGGGACCCGTTATCGCTTTAGGGCCCGTTTCCGCGGTTCCGTTACGGCCTCATGTACATACAACCCATTTCGTTCCCGTGTAAATAGCACCTAACTAAGTGTGTTAATTTGAACAGTATTAGCACGGCTTCCTTGTTTACTTGTTGGTTTTTCTCTTGCCTTTCTAACTCTTCCTCCGCTCTGGCAGGATCGTGGATGTTGGCGGTCAGAAGTCGGAGCGCAGGAAGTGGATTCACTGTTTTGAAAACGTCACCTCGCTCATCTTCCTGGCGTCGCTCAGCGAGTACGACCAGGTCCTGGAGGAGAGAGAGACCATCGTAAGAGACACGTCCAACCTCACTGCAGAGCGTGGACAAAATAACAGAAACAGCCTAAACAGTCCAATATTTATATATATATATATATATATATATATATATATACACAAAATACTGTAGCTTATTGTAGATCTGCAACAATGAATTGATTATCGAGTTTGATTGAAGGTTTTAGTAACTTTTCAAGTACAAATACCTATTTAAATCTTGTGTTTTTGATATTGTTGCTTTTATATGTTTAATATCATTGTAAACTAAATATTTTTGGAAAATTTGTCAGACAAAACAATTAATTATTAATAAATCATTCTTAGTTGCATCCACATATATAGATTATTGTTGCTGTTACATTAGCATACAAAAAGCCTTTAAATTGTTAAATGATAATAATAAATGTAAAACGCACTTATTAACAGCCAGTAGCTGTTAGCCTTAATTAAATGGAGTAAAATGTATTAATAATTTCCCATTATAACGTATTGTTACTTGTCTTCATGACATGTTTTCTCACTGCAGTCAGTTCATACTTCCTCCTGCAGGTTTCACTCTTGCACAACAAACCTCCCCTTTTCTTATATCTATACTCTCTCTCTCTCTCTCTCTCTATATCCTCATATCTCTCTCTATCTAGCGCCTCTCTCTCTCTCTCTCTCTCTCCTCTCTCTCTCTCTCTCTCTCTCTCTCTCTCTCTCTCTCTCGCCTTCTGTCCCCTCCTCCCTCCCATCCTGTCTCTAAGCTGTTTATCTCTCCCAGCCACTTTTTCGTCTGCCAACACATTCATTAACCTCCACAGAGGCCCGTGTGCTCCAGACCTCCATAAACCCCCCCCCCCCCCCCCCCCCCCCCCCCCCCCCCCCCCCCAAAAACCCCCCCCCCCCCCCCCCCCCCCCCCCTCCTCTCTTTAAAGGACTGGTTTCCTCCCGGCTTTCGTCACAATCACAATCTGTCTTTCCATCCATGAGGAGTCAAAATGATCTCTCAGAAACTCACTGGTGTAGTTCATGTATCTATAACAACAAAATAAATCCCAAAATCAAGAAATTAGCATCTTAGAACTTTCCTCACCTCGAAGTCAATGGGGTTCATTTTAACGTGTTTTGGTAAAATGCCTGAAATAAAATCTGTGGTTAACACAAGCTGAAGAGATTTTAATGTTTTGTTTCAAATTTGTGTCCTCAAAAAGGCCGTTTCTAGTGGCTAATGAGACTATAAAACATAATTATGCCGACATTTTCTTTAAGCCTGCCGTTAGCTTTCTACTGCGCTAGCTTTTACTCTTAATAAATCATAAAAGTTCTGTTCATTTATGAAAAATATCCTGCTGAACGAAACGTTTTTCCTAACAGGTGTTTGCCACAGAGCGTATTCTCTGCCATTATCTAAATGCCTTTCCATTGGCATTTTCTCGAAGTGCGACACTGACGTCTTGGTTTGGAAAATCTGTTTTCCCTGCAGCCTCCAGTATAACATGTGACTCTGTTTCTGTCTTCAGAACCGAATGCACGAGAGTCTGGCTCTCTTCTACACCACCATCCACTCGCCTTGGTTCTTCAACACCTCCATCATCCTCTTCCTCAACAAGACTGACATCCTGGCTGACAAAATCATGACCTCTGACCTGCAGAAATATTTCCCCAGCTTCCCAGGTAAACACTGGATATAACTGCTTTTAGTAAACACCTGAGTTTTCCTCTTGCACCAAAATGAGGTCAGCGTTTAGATTTCTTTAGTGAAGAGTCAACTTTTGAATTGACTGCAAGGAAATTTGGCACCAGCATTCAGGCCCCTCGTATGATGAATTGTACTCCTGCACCAAAAACCCATATCATTTGAAATGGTGCAAGCCTACTGACAACACCGACAGCCTCAGTTGTACTTTATCAGTGCTCATCAGCAAATGTTAGCATGCTGAATAGGGCTGTGGATTGGCAAGAGCAACCAAATGCACCCCTGCCTGTATGTCACAGCCTGAATAAAAGCTCCGCCCCATATGCAAGATGTATGTAAGTGGAAGCCGTCTTACTTCATGTGTAGGAGTTTGGACTGAATGATCACAATGGGGAAAGGCATGGCATGCTAGCTTGTCAAATCCCAAATATAAAGCCTGGTTGGCTAAGGATTCCAAATATGAGAAAGGTGCAAAGTTTGTGTAAAATCTTGTGATCCAGAATCCAAAATCTGTGAGCCAGATCCAGCATCCTCCGAGTCACAAAGTCAAATATGGTCTCAAAAGTGTGGAAATCCTAAATGGAAAACGTTGACTTCATCACAACCTGATGCACCCGCTATTAAAAAGAATGTATCATTAAGAATATATTTTATAAATTGGAGCGCAGTCTCAAGCTCAGTGTCATCCTGACTCTGAACCCAAATCAGAGTCAACAAACTAATAAATAATAAAATCTTCACACACACACACACACACACACACACACACACACACACACACACACACACACACACACACACACACACACACACACACACACACACACACACACACACACACACGCACACACACACACACACACATGAGTCACTTCCAGGTACTTAGTGTGCTTAATGATGTGGCTGCAGCCTGTAGCTCTGTTGGTGTGAAAAGCTGAACAGCGTTGCCCTAACCTCCCCTCCATGACACCCCCCCTCTCGCGCTGTTACCCATGGCAACAACCACAGACTGATATTGTGCTTCATGCAAGTCCTGCACCCCCCGCTACCCTCCAGGTGTACATTTGTGAGGGGTTTATGAGTGCAAGGGGAAAATGTGTGACCGTGAGTGATTATTTATGTGTGTGTGTGTGTGTAATCTAACTGACTTTTACCATGAGGATAAAATACAAAATAATGACTCCTACAGGGTGAAGCTCCCTCAGTTTAACCTCAACAACAACTCTGTGCAGCTCTTCCTCTGGTTGTTGCTAATGCTGCGTTCCCGTTCGGCCGTTTATCGCTGCTGTAAAGTGAAGGCTACTGTTGTTAAGAAGCCACACATTCCTTTACCATGTTAACACAGCGAGGGCAGCAACTGGACCAGCACTTAAATGATTTGTCAATGTTCACTGCTTATAGCTGCAGCGTCCTTTCATTTAAAGAGGCCATATTATGCTTTTAGTGGTTATCCCTTTCCTGTAGTGTGTTATATTGGTTTTTGTGCATGTAAATGGTCTAAAGGCTAAAATAACCCCCCCCCCCCCACCTAAAAAGCCTCCATTGGACGCCTTCGTTTACTTCCGTAAGATAATAACATCATTATGTAACACACCCGTTCTTATTGGCGAGCGCTCCAACACATTGCACGTGATAGGCTAAGGGACCGGATGAATCACAACAGAGCCGGCCAGCTAACCAATCAGAGCAGATTGGGCTCTGAGTCCACACAAACGACAAAAAAAACAGACACAACAGACAATTACGGAGACATTTTTGGTAATCTTAAATCCAGTGCAACACACAAGATACTCTTTAACAAAATAATTAAAAGTCACACAATGGTGCACGAGGAAAAAGCAGGAATAAGTGAAGTAAAATTCTAGCAACTATTTCCATCTCTTATATCTTTCTCACGTCTGTTTACAGGCAGGAGGCACGACCCGGATGATGCTAAGAACTACATCCGCAAGTTGTACGAGCAGCAGGCCATCAACCGGGACAACAGGGACCAGTGGAAGACGCTGTACCCTCACTTCACCTGCGCCACCGACACCAACAACATCCGCAGAGTGTTCAGCGACATCAAGGACACGGTGCTGCTCAAATCTCTCCGGGACTACGGGGTCATCTGAACTCTTACACAGCTCTGGATGAACTGGAAGAAGAAATCTGCTGGTTCTTGACTCTGTCTGCACTATTTTACCTTTACTGATGAACGCCAGACTTCTTTTTCTACTTTTCTATAACAACAACTACACTGTCGTCCATTTTTCTAACCCCCTTCCCACAGGGTGTATTGAAGAATAACGATGGAGGAGTCTTCTCTCACCTTCACCAACACACTGTAATTGAATGGAAATTGGGAGAAATAACAATAATGATGTGACTTCTGATCAGGGAGCAAAGGAATAAACCACTTGTCTCACAGCTAGCAGCTTTCCCCCCCAATTTCGAGTGTTTGGAACATGCAGTGACTCCATAATTGAAGCAGGAGCAGAGATGCAGTGAGGTGTTGTGCGGCCACTAACGGAGTAATAACTTTTCCAAGTGGAGATGGGGGCCATGCAGCTTCAGGTTCAAGCACAAACTGTAATCGCACAAACTGTTTCTATGAGTTGAAATCCACGGTATCTTTTATTATCAGACTACCTAAATCGGGGATTTTCTCTCATTGATTAACGTCACCTCAGAGTCTTCGATTGTTTCACAAACACTCCTGACAGAGAGCCAAAATCCCTATTGATTACAGTTAATCTCACACTGGCAGTGTTCCTATCTGTTCAGCACCGTCTCCCTCAATTATTATGAGCAGAAAGTTTGTGTTACCACCTGGTGAGTCCCTCTCATGGTGCCATATCAGAAGTATGAAATAACATCCCCTGAATCAAAATGCATCTGACTGCACAAGGACTTCCTGGTATTACTGGCATACCGCATTTCACATGCTATGTTTTGGGAAATCATTTATATTTTCTCGCATACTTAATAGTATGGTAGTATGGGTATTGGAAAGCTTTTTTACATTAGGCTATGTAGGTAGGAGATTCACTTGGTTGGAAATGGTGAAACATTTGTGCCATTGAATTTCAAAATAAAGGCGCATCTTAAAGATGATTTTAGATCCTTGATCATGGAAATATATGGTTTACACATCCATAGCGATGGGTTGTTACACTGCTAAGATAAACAACAAGAGAATCACAATAGAGTATTCAATTAAAAGAAAACTAATTTGAATTTTGAGTTCTTAGTCAAACACCTATTCAGCTGAATGTGATAGGTAGATCTACCGGTTGTTGGTGTTGACTCAACACACTGCAGATTGTTTAATGTTTAACAAGTTTTGAGAGAAAAACACTGATGGAGTAATGGCTTGTTAACAGTCTCCAAAATGTTCATCATTGCTGTGTGGGAAGAAATATTCATGAAGGAGGACAAGAGTGTGGTTTTGGTTGGAAACACTGCAGAAAAAACATTTTAGGGTGCCTTTAATCAATGTTTTTAGGATAAACAGTGGATCAGTTGACTTCTTGTATGAGACAGTACCATCTCTACATTGTTAGCCATTTTTAGCTCTCCACTTCAATTTGTGTTTTGTTCACTCTCTCCGCCTTCGTAGCGTTTTTTCCAGACGCAACAGGCAGCTTTTGAGCACAAAAGATTTAATAAAAAACACTGTTCATCACCTGCCAAGCCTTAAACAGCAGAGAGTTAGCAACTAGCTGTGATTATGGTGGAACATTGAGCAGCTAGAGAGCAATGTATTCTCTGCAGGAGCTGGTGGAGAACAAATACAGAGCTGAAAGGAGAGTCAATATCGCTAGGATGAGAGCCAAATAAATGCTCATGTTGCTAAATAACTGCTGGATTTGAAAATAAGCCACTGTTTGCACACCAGATTAAGTTACATCTGGTCATACAGTAGTCTCTGAAATGTGCCTCTTTTGTACTTTTAAACATACAGCAATAAAGCCAACAGCAGATTTTGCACCTCTCAATGCAATAAACACACTTTATTAAAATCAATAGCAGACATTTGAGCACCAATCACAGTTAGAGTCTGACAGGTTGGAAAAGGTCACGAGGGAAGGAACGGAGCACTGTTTGAAAAAAACGATTTTTGGGCGAGTTCATATCAGAGACGGTGGAAAAGCTGGGTGAAGAATATTAATATGAGGTCGCAGTGAGAAATACGTGCGTCTTATTTATATAATTGTGTGGAAAAGGGGGATTTAAACATGTTTTTGATTAGAAGCGAGAGCTCTAGTGAGCATTAAGTAAAAAAAGACAATGAAATTATTTAAATAACTGACCATGTGTTTAAGTAGTTTTGGCTGCTCTTTTGTTAAATGTATATAGAGTTTATACTGCTACAGTTGTATTGTACATTTACCAATGACTACTATTTGATTGAGTTTTATCTGCTGTTTTTTAAACACTGTTTACCCACAGCACACACTGTGATTGTAGTGAAATACTTTTTCTGCATTGGGAGATGACCTGTCGTACGGTGACAGTGGATTTATTTTGTGTAGACTCGGGTGGAGGAAGTGGGCAAATACCTTTTTCTAGTTAACAATAAAAAACTTGGAACACACACCATGCTGCTTGGTTTTGTTTGCCTGGCAGATATTGAGCGACAGAGTGTGTGTGAGGTGTTTCTCAGTCCTCTCACAGGCTGCAATCACACACTCACTGTGACTGGCACTTCGCAAAGTGTTTTAGACTTTTTGTCAGAAGGGTAAACACCTTAATACAAACATCTTGTTTTCAAATTGACAGGAAATACACAAAACAACACAAGTACACTCGAGTCTAAAATGTCTCACACCAACTCTCCTCAAAATGCCAAAATACATATAAATGCACCAAACTAAAGCAAAATACATACACTAACATGCACCTACACACAAGAGACACATTTGTTATAATCATCTTTTTGAATTAGTACAGGCATAAAGTTACATAAAAGATCATAACAGACAAGATAGTATGAGGACATGTTAATACAACCTCGCCAAAGATTTTAAAAAACACAAAGTTTTAGACAAATAAGACTGAAGTCAAAACTAAATAAATAGGAGTCCTTTAGCTCAAGTCAAATAATAACTCAACAGTTAAAATACATCATAAACATACACAACAGGTCATTAAAAGTCTGATTTTCCCAATCCCATACTGTGTTGTTTTACTTTGCAAAGGTTTGCAGCAACTATGTTGATTACTCCTCACTACTACTGACAGACAAGAAACAAACATCCAAAACAAACTGGCGGATGTCATTCATAAATAACGCATCTATAAATGTATATTTGACAGTTGATGGCAGGTCAAGGTTCAAGGTTAGTTTATTTGTATAGCACATTTTAAGACACAGAGGCCATTCAAAGTGCTTTATATAGGCATTCAGCACATAATATTTAAAAACAAAACGAACACACAATCAAAAAAAAAGAAAAAAAGAAGACAATTCATAAAAGCGATAAAATACTGGCTGCAACTAAAAGTGCAATGATAAGGCACGGTTAAAGGATCTCAGGAAAGGCTTTTTTTTTATTTGGTGGTCTAATCTGGATAGTGAGGTGGGCTGATGATCGGAAGGTTGCGAGTTCAAATCCCGCCTGGAACACCACTACTAGTGTGCCCTTGAGTAAGGCACTTAGCCCTCAGTTACTCCAGGGAGAATGTCCCTGTAATTGGTCATTGTAAGTCGCTTTGGAATAAGGCGTCTGCTAAATGCCTAAATTGTAAATTATATTTTTGGGAGAATAAACCCCACAGATCCTCAACTCCGGTGTGTCTCTCTCTCTAGGTCGTCCTCAGACGAGCCCTCCATCGTCGCTTCCAGTCATCCCGGTTCTCCATACATCTGGCCAGTTCACCATCCGCTGCGATGTTCCTGTGGACTCCTGCCGCTGGAAGTATAGGATTTGGGATGACTTTGTTCTTCATGGTTGGCTTTACTATGCTGATTAAGGACTAGGGGGCGCAACTCCTCTCAGTCCTGGTTTTAGTTCAGAGTGTCCTTCTCCTTGATGGGTTGCCTTCCATGGCTATGAACCCCATCTGCCCCTGCTATTTGCCCATAGCTGGGGAGCAGCTTAGGGAACGGTGCCTTGCTCAGGGACACCTTGGTAGCACTTGGTCCTTCCGGGACTTGAACTGGTGACCTTCCAGTTGCCAAGCCAAGTCCCTATGGACCTCGCCACCACCGCCGTCTCACTCATTAACAACGCAACACAGAGCAACAAGAACGTTGTCTGCTACAGTAGCCATGAACTCGCATGTATTTTGTTATTTGAGGGGGGGTGCGGTGTACAAATAGAATCAGATTCTGTGGGAAACACTGAGGCTGCATTAAAAATAAAGGTTTTTAACCTGAATTTAAGACCTCAGAATTTCCAGGCTTATGGTTAAAAAAAAACTAAAAGCTGCCTCTGCAAATGTAGTTCTGACTCTGGGGACGACGAGTAAACCCGCTCCTGCTGATCTGAGAGCTCTGGCTGGCTCGTAACAGTGCAGCATCTCTGACATGTATTTTGGTCCCAATCCATTAAGTGCTTTGTATGTTGAAAGTAGGATTTTGAAGTGTATCCTTTGTGTAACAGGAAGCCAGTGCAGCTTTTTGAGAACTGGGGTGATGTGGTAAATTCTCCTAGTTTTGGTGAGGACTCTGGCAGCAGTGTTCTGGATGAGTTGGAGTTGTTTTATTGATTTTTTACAGAGACCTGTGAAAACACTATTACAGTAGCCAAGTCAGTCAGGCTATAGTCAGATGATATAAATGTATGCTAAATGTAGCTGTTATATGATCTCCATCCTGCTGGCAGAGGCAAAGCATTTCCTCATTAAAGAGTGACAAATGGCTTCTCCAAACAACATATTGTCACAGTTTCCTTCGAGTGGGAATCCACTGACAGCAAAAGTACCCGCTGCATGACACGTGTTTACATAACAATTATTATACGGATATTGAGATAGTGAAGCGTGTCCCTGAAATTCCCTGTAATACACACAAATGAACCCACACACACACACCCACACACACACACACCCACACACACACACACACACACACACACACACACCCACCCACACACACACACACACACACACACACACACACACACACACACACACACACACACACACACACACACACACACACACACACACACACACACACACACACACACACACACACACACACACACACACACACACACACACACCACACACTGTGGCGTGTAATGGCTGTCAAAGCTCCACACCACGGGAGTGTGAGAGTGTGATTTTGTGGCCCTGGTGGCTATCAGTCAAGTTGACATTCTGAAGTGTGATGGTGTGGTGACTGTGAGTACATGTGTGAAAGATGTAAGTCAGAATGTCTACAGCGGTGTGACATCCTGCAGCCAACAACCGCTGCAGGGATTTAGCCTTGATAACGTATCCACAAAACACTTTCTAGGACATAAAGTAGGAAGAGAGACTCTAAAACACTGGCAATTAAACACAACTAAAATAATGGAATACCTTTTCTCCCTCCTAGAGAAGACACAAATGCTACATTAACACATTCACCAACTGTATTGCAATTTATTATACTTATTTTACCAATAAAGTCACATAACATAACATAATTATGGGCTGAACAACAAAGCACACGACTAAGGTTTGTGCAGAGCAGACGAGGAGGAAACAGAAAACATGTTGAATCTTTATCATGACAATTTCTTTAGTCATACCAATTATTTATCATTTAAATCTGTATGGGACACACTAGACTCTTTTCCACTTGTAGCAGTGATAATGCTATCAAAGAATACATTTAGTTAGCTACTGAAGATAGTAAGAACAGTGGCATAAATCAACCTAAAGTTAGCATATGACATTGATGTCGCTTGCAGGCCCCATCATTGGCGTTATTTGCACGTTAACATGTATGAACTTCCCGTTGTTTTTTATAAAAATACTACAAACATATGGTGATATGATTGTAAATGTGTAAAATTTTACTAATAACAAACAGTGTCAATAGAGGATTTAATAAGAAGTTATCCGCTGCAGTTGATTATAAAAATATAATCCTTGTTTGCTTTAATAGCGGAGCATAAAATGTAATATATTTTCCTTGAGTCCACCTTCTCTTCCAGCTGTCATCGAGTCACACACTGAAACTAAACTCAGGTCGGACTGATGATCACAATAATGATAGCAGAGCCTCTCAGATGCTCATTCTAACTCTCATGGTGTCAGCTGTCCTATCTGTTTGACCCAATGTGCAAATCTATCCACCACCTTATTAAAAACCCGGGGCGAGAAAGTATTCGTTTTGTTTTCACCTGGAAGAAGCCGCCGCCACTGAGCTCGAGTTTGGAGCAGACCCAATTTAGCATGTCTGACATTTAAAATGATTGATTCCTCTGGGACGGTGGGAGCCAGTCTGCTAGATATTGGCTGTGCTGGAGAAACTGAGAGGATTTGATCCGGGCCCTGGTAGCCTTTGCGGATAATAAGGAATTTGTTTATGTAAATCAAAAATGAAATACCCACAAATTATCTCAGATACCACAACTGCAGCTGTTCTCATTAGGGAGGACCTGAGGACCGATACTCTTGACTGTTTTTCTTTTTTACAGTTACCAGCGTGTACTGTAGTGACTGGTAGTAGTATCGTAGGGCGCGCTGGGGAAAATACAAAAATGGTGTGTGACGCAGATAACCTGTAGGACTGATTGGGACTGATTCTTGAACCACTTGATTGTGAACAACAAGTTTGTGTTGACATTAGCTGAGGACAGCCAGTCTTTGTTAGCTGCACTCAGTTAACGGAGGTTCCATAGAGTTGCATTATAGCACATAAAGCTCTATTTAGTAAAATCAGTTGATGGTAAAATAACTTGATCAAGAGGTGTTCGTTTTTAGCAAGAAACTTGAAGTAATACAGTTGTTTGAAGGAGATTGTATCATGGCAATACAGAATATAAAATAGAGAGGGAGTTATAACCTGTGTAACTTCCTGACAGAAACCGGCATGCAAAGGTTTGATCATCCAATTCACAAAAGCCAAAGAATAGATTTTGGCAGTGAAAATCTTAAAGGTCCCCTACTATACTTTTTTTTTTATGGGTTTCAGATATATATAAAACATGTCTCTGAAGTGTTTGGCTGGAAATAACAAATAGATCATGCATTGTAGCTTTAAATGCTAATGAGTTGCTGCTGGCCACGCCCCTCTGTGGAGATGTTTGGCAAAAAAGAACACAATGGTGCTCAAGGAGGAGATTCAGGTGATAAGGTGGGGGGGTTACCTTGGTTGGTGATTGGCTAATGGTTACACAAGGCAAGGCAAGGCAAGGCAAGGCAAGTTTATTTATATAGCACCTTTCAACACAAGGCAATTCAAAGTGCTTTACAAAAATGGAAGACATTAAGAAAATGGCATTTAAAATCAGTCATTAAAAATAAAAGATAATAAAATAAACATTAAAAGAAAAAATACATGGATAAAAGTTACAGTGCAGTTTAAGATGTGAATAGTTCAATTAAAAGCAGCGGCAAATTGAAGCCAAATAAACGTTATGACATCACAAAGTGGCC